ATGTGTGAAACTGTCGCCACTTTCGAGGCCTGCTGGGGAGCCCAGCGCAGTGTGCACTCGCGGCGGATTCACATGGGACCTCGCCATCCCTGGGGGGCTGCGATGTGTGAAACTGCCGCCACTTTCGAGGCCTGCTGGGGGGCCCAGCACAGTGTGCACCCGCGGCGGATTCAAATGAGACCTCGCCATCCCTGGGGGGCTGCGATCTGTGAAACTGTCGCCACTTTCGAAGGCTGCTGGGGGGCCCAGCACAGTGGGTACCCACGGCGGACTCAAATGGGACCTCGCCATCCCTGGGGGGTTGCGATCTGTGAAGCCGTCGCCACTTTCGAGGGCTGCTGGGGGGCCCAGCACAGTGGGTACCCATGGCGGATTCAAATGAGACCTCGCCATCCCTGGGGGGCTGCGATTTGTGAAGCTGTCGCCCCTTTCGACGCCTGCCGGGGGGCCCAGCAAAGTGGGTACCCGCGGCGGATTCAAATGGGACCTCGCCATCCCTGGGGGGCTGCGATCTGTGAAAATGTCGCCACTTACGAGGGCTGCTGGGGGCCCAGCACAGTGGGTACCCACGGCGGTTTCAAATGGGACCTCGCCATCCCTGGGGGGCTGCGATGTGTGAAACTGCCGCCACTTTCGAGGCCTGCTGGGGGGCCCAGCACAGTGGGCTTCCCGCGCGTCTTTCTCCTGCTCTTCGTTCCCGACTCCGCATGTCCTCTTCGAGCCTGTAGTTGTCGTCCCTCGTTCTTGTATGGTTTTCCTGCGCATCATTTCATTGGCGCGTGTCCCAAGTATCTTACATATCAAACAACGGATCATGCAATTTGATTGTCCGTGCAAGTTTCGGCCAACTCCTCGTTTCCCATGGTACAAATGGGTTGGGTACGTCACAGGGTATTTTTGTCGGGCGGGTTTTTGGGGAACAAAAAACGTTGTCCGATATACTGTTGTTTTTGAATGTGGGGTCCTGGACCCCTCTGGACAACTTCCTGCACAAAAACAAAGGTTGTGTTTTCCTAATGTTCCCCCCTGGAGCCTGAGGTGGCTGGAACCCCGAAGAACCCCGAAGAACCATAGACACAAATCCCGAGTTAAAAGGGTTGATCTGGGAATGTTCGAAGAGCTTTTGGGGGAAGGGTCAGAAATAGTATTCGTATAATGTTCAAGTGAGGCGCCTCGGAGCCCATAGTTGGGTTCTGGTCGTTGAAATTCCCTTGCCCGGAGCCAGGGGTGGTCAGCAAACAAATCCAAAACGAAGACACCCAAGCTGCGTCTTTTATCTTTGCTTTTCACCGTGTTTATGGGGCCCTGGACCCCGAAAAAAAACATTAAACAAACTCTGGTTGGATCGGTTGTTGTAAGGCTTTCTCCCCAAGACCCAGGGTGGCCAGGGATCGCCAAAACAATCAGAAAAAACTCAGAATTGGGTTGTTTGTGCCTTTCATGTTCTATAGTTTCTTGAGGGTTGCTCAGCAAACTTTTTAGACGTTTTAGACGCTTCCTTCCTTGAGCCTGGGGTGGCCGGAGAACCCCTTGAACCACGCCCAGAAAAAATAGTTGGATTTTGCTTCGGAGTTTTAATATGACGTTTTTTTTGGGGGGGAGAGGTCATAAATACTCTTGTATGAATTGTGGGGGCCCAGACCCACCCGACAAAAAACACACACACACACAGCATCCACGAGTTGTTTTTTTTGTCTGGGTTGTTTCCCCCTGAAGCATGAGCTAGCCCGACACACAAAAAACAAACAACGATATCTGTGTTGTTGAATGTTGAGTTATCATTTTTGTTGTTGCGCTGTTTGGGGGGGAGGGCGGGTCAGAAAGTATAGCGTTTTGAGTGTGGCGCCCCGGACCCCCCCGAGCAAAACAATAAAAATGTGTTGTTTATTATGTAAGGTTCTCCCCAAAACGAATTCCGTGCGGGGTAAAAACAATTGGGGTTCCTGGGTTGTTCGGCGAACTGCCAGACCCTACTGCACACCTCCTCCGCATCCTTATCCTCCTGATGTTGCTGTTCCTTTTCCTCCTCCTCCTATCCCGGTAACCCTTTAACATACATGCTCCCACTCTGCCACCTTGCCGGCCGATGAAGGTGGCCCCATCCTACCTGTCAAAAAAGATACACAGATCAATGCTCTTCGTCTGATCATGAAGCCTGCCGATCATGTTGCAAAATGTATGTTAGGAAAGAGACGAGGCGCACAGCCCGCGCGAAAGGCCGAAATGTCGCTCTTGTCTCGGCGCCGCACTCATGTTCTAGAAGATTCGATTCCCGCTGGGGCGCGGCCCGCCGTCGACGCGCGAGCGGTCGGAAATGTTGCTCTCGCCTCAGCGCCGCGCAGACTCCGCCTGAAAGCGGCGTTGCCGCCTCGACGCGGCGTTCACTTCTCACGCGCCGAACTCCTGGGGGGCCCGCGCGGGTGGGCGACGCGTCGCCCTCGCCCAGGCTCCGTGCGCACATGGCACGGAGGTGGCGTGCCAGCGCGGGCGCGGCGCATGGCTCGCTCGCCGAGTCGCATGACAGCGACAGCAGCAGCGGGGCCGCGTGAGAGCGGGCGAGATCGCAACCTCGCCCAAGCGCCGCGCAGTCTGTGAGTGGAAGTGGCAGTGCTGAGTCAACGCCCAAACGCCGCTCGCTTTCGCCGCCCATATCTGCAATGGTTCCGCCCCCGGCCTTGCGCGGCCCGCGTAGTCTTCTCTTCGCCAATTGGTCGGAGGCGCGGCCGCGCGCGAGCGACCTCTGTTTGTAATGTGAGAACGCGTTCCACTCGATGTACCAAGCTGTGCCACGATTCATTACTGTGTTGCGAGAGGGAGGAGGGAGTAGGCGAGGCCCTCTGACTCGCTTGACCTGGCCAACTTGCCTCCTCCTCCCACTCCTCCTCCGCCTCCTCCTCCCCTCCTTCTCCATCCCTTCTCGTCCGCCCTGCTCCCCTTTCCCGTCCTCATGTGCCCCAAGAGTAGGGCAGGGACAGGATCATGACGATCAGGAGGCGCAGCAGCCAGGAAAGGAAGGATTGGGAGCAAGGTCTGAGATACAGAACAAACAAGTCTCTCGTCCGCGTCTGCTAGCATCATCCTCCTTCTTCTTCGTCGTCTTCATCAGAATCAGCAGCATCACCATCAGCATCACCATCAGCATCATCATCAGAGTCAGCATCAGCATCATCATCGTCATCACGATCATCATCATCATCAGCATTATCAGCATCATCATCATCATCATCATCATCATCATCATCATCATCATCAGCATCATCATCAGCATCATCATCATCATCATCATCATCATCATCATCGGCATCAGCATCAGCATCAGCATCAGCATCATCATCAGCATCATCACCACCCGCATCATTATGACAATCAAACTCAACAGCATCATGATCATCAGCATCATCCCAGCATCATCCCAGCATCATCATCATCATCATCATCACCATCATCATCATCATCATCATCATCATCATCATCATCATCATCATCATCATCATCATCATCATCATCATCGTCATCATCACCAGCATCATCATCCTCATCATCCCTCTTCCTCCCTCCTTCCTCCCTCCTCCTCGTGCTCTCCATGCTCGTGCATCCCCATCCATTTCTGCATCCTCCTCATCAGAATCCCACCAGCCCTTTGGGCGTGAGTGGTTTAGCGAGCTCTCTCTGTCCTCAACCCCCCTTCTTCCCCTTCGGGGAGGGGTTTACCCCTCCCCCTACCCCCTCCCCCTGGGCCTGGAGAGGGGGGGCCGCGGGTCGTGGGTAAATTTCGACTCCTGGGAGGGCTAAAAAACGACACCCCTCACGAGGATTCTGGCCCCGACGGGGGGTAGGAGAAAAAACCCTCTCCTCTTCTTTGAAGCGAAAATCATTGATTTTACTACGGTTGCGGCCCCATTTTGCCCTTCTGAGGGGGCAGCGCTCCTCTTCCGTCATAGCAAAATCATTGATTTTACTAAGGTTTTGGGCTCATTTTGTCCTTCTCAGGGGGCAGCGCTCATTTGCGCTTCTGAGGAGGCCGCAAGAGGCCCCAAGCTGGCCCCAAGAGGCCCCCCGGAGGCTCCCAAGAGGCCTCCAAGAGGCCCCCAAGAGGCCCCTAAGAGGCACCAAGAGGCCCCCAAGAGGCCCCCAAGAGGCCCCCTAGAGGCCCCAAGACGCCCCAAGAGGCCCCCAAGAGGCCCCCAAGAGGCCCCCAAGAGGCCCCCAAGAGCCTCCAAGAGGCCCCCAAGAGGCCCCACGAGGAGCCCGAACGACTCACACCAGGACGAGGGGCCCGAACGACTCACACCACGAAGAGCCCGAACGACTCACACCACAAGGAGGGGCCCGAACGACTCACACCAGGACGAGGCGCCCGAACGACTCACACCACGAGGAGCCCGAACGACTCACACCAGGACGAGGGCCCCGAACGACTCACACCACGAGGAGCCCGAACGACTCACACCAGGAGGAGGAGCCCGAACGACTCACACCAGGACGAAGGGCCCGAACAACTCACACCACGAGAAGCCCGAACGACTCACGCCAGGACGAAGAGCCCGAACGACTCAAACCACGACGAAGAGCCCGAACGACTCACACCAGGAAGAAGGGCCCGAACGACTCACACCAGGACGAGAGGCCCGGAGATATGCGGGGGCAGGCGGAAACACGCTTGAAAAACACGACTGTCGGCATGCTTCGCAAGAGTTGCTGTTTTGAGATGGGCTGGTGGGGATACGCGAAGCGTGAAGAACTTCTCCGCCCATTTCCATATTATCGTCCTGTTCTTCCACCTCCCCCTCCTACCTCCGCCTCTTCCTTCCATCGGAATTGACCGCCAAACCTGTCTTGGATCGCATTCTGACCAGGATCTCGAGGCGAATTCACCCGTGGCGACGAGTGCCCCCCGAAGGCCCACAAGTGACCCAAAAAGTCGAATCCCCCTCGTCTTCGTCCTCACCACTCCTCTCGGGACTCCTCCCCCCCCCCTCGCGCCGAGATCGCGGAGCGGCCTTGTATTGGTCGTAGACCTCCGACATCAGTGCACCAGTCTTCGGGGAGGTGCTCTGCACGAAGAGGTAGATGGTCTGGCGACCGCCCCCAGGGGGATGAAACGCAGAGAAAGAAGGGAGGGTGAGAACGGGCTGGATGAGTGAAGGGCCAGGGACGGGGAGGGAGCAGGCGCGATCTGGGCAGAGTCTGAATGGTCTGGAGGGGCGTCTCGAGGGGCGCCTCTGGGGAGATGAGAAAGAGGGAGAGGGAAGGGACAGAGGAAGCCTGGTCGACGTGAAGACCACAAGTCCCGCGAGGGTCCGCAAGGCCCACCGCAGGCCCGCGAGCAAGGGAGACTCCAGAACGACGCCAGAGGTCCCAGGAGGCATCAGGAGACTCTAGACGGGGGGGGGCCAGGAAGCCTCGGGATGGGCCGGGGAGGCCCGACAGATCCCCAGGAAGCTCTGGGATGCCCCAGAAGCCCCAGAGGCCCCAGGGAGACACGATGGCCCGTGGAGGAACATATCACAACGCTGAAGCCCTGTGGCCTCACGTGTTTGACAGGGGGCATGCACTGACATGGCCGCATGAACGGATGGACCCACCGATTTGGGGCATCCTGGGTGGAGGAGGACATCGCTCAGACTGAAATGTCGTGAATTTCTTCATGGTTGGCAAAAGGGTCGAGAATGGATCAGGCCGGGGGGGAGCGAACGCAACATTACTGAAACATGTTGTTTTGCAGGTTCCACCAGGGGGTGCGAACGAGCCACAGGGAGGACATCGAACGAACAACTATATACCATAATGCAAATTCATGCCAAAGTAGTCCTCCCCTTCTATCTCCTCTCCCTCCTATTCTATTATGTTTCCCACTCCTCCATCGTACCCTGTCGGACCTCAGCAGGATGGTGCCGCTGCCTGGTCGGAGGCGATTGACGCGTCTACGGTCTGGTTGATGTGCTTGTGAATAATGTACCTGGCGACCCAGCGATCGATTCGCACTCCCCCCCAATAAAAAAAGTCACTCTACGTGCATGGATTCTCTCCTCTCGCCCCCTTCCTTTCACCTGTCATGGCTTCTCCCCCGCGGACCCAGACAAAAAACCATGGGGATGATGGATGGCATCGATGGAAATTAGCATGGCTTCCCCCTGGGAATCGATGGCGCACGTTCGCTGACCTGGTCGTTAGGGAGCGCAAAAGGGGGGCTGTGGGCAGAGACCGTCGATACCATCGCTGTCGGGATTAACCAATTCAAGTCAGTTGAACCATTGCTTTTGGAAATGTGCGCCACGAGGAGGGCGAGTTTGACAAGTCTGCCCTCAATGCTTTCACTCGCGTCGATAGGGCCGTTGGCGCGCATAAGAAACCACAACAACCCCACGTGTACGCCCAATGTCCTTGGCAAATCAACTAACCTAGACTTGTTGGCCGCTGGCGGCCTGGTTTTCTGCTGCGCCGTGTACATCCCCCAAATGGCGGCAAATTTTTCGCGAAGGGCCAACTTCACATCGTCGGAACATGTCCCTGTCTGCCGTCGTCTACGCCAATCCTGTCGCGCAACACCTCCAAGGCGCGATCAAAGCTGGCCGCTCGGATGGCTGTTATGCGACATAGACTGGAGCAGGCAAACACATCCAGTTCGAGGGAGAAGCCGTTAACTGCATCTGGAAGTACATACTTGCCCTTGACCAGCAACCACGCGGCTATACCCAGGCACGTCCACCGCCATCATGAAAATGGAACCCAGCAACTTTTCACACTGGCACAGAACCCGATGCGATCTTGAAGCCGTCCTCAACGGCATCGAACAGAACTGGCTGAGCTGCACCTACAGTTCCTGCATAGCTTATCGTTTGGCCCAAGACCCTGGTTGAGGAAGCGAAAGAAGAAGGCGATTGAACGAACAGAAGCCACGCGCCAGCCCCAAACTCAACAATTGAGCGCCGCTGCCGCCATTGAACCGGATTTCCTGCAAGACGCGAAGGCACACGAACTCGCAGTTGGCACTGCTTCGGACAAGAGGCCACAATAACAAACCGCCCGACTGATGCAGAAAAAACAGCACACGTATTTGGAACGCAACAGGGGACAAGGAGGTCGAGGCCGAAGCGCTCTATCGAAAACGAGGGCCCGATCCTGGTGGGCCGGGGAACATACCCTGCGACGCACCCGGCCCTTCTGCACTAAGTGACCAGAGGAGCTGGTCCAAAATAGTTTGGCCGATGACAACATGGCATGTGTCACGGGCGGCCCAAAACAATGTGGGAAACGCGCGCGCCGCGCGACTCACAGGAACAACGATAAAAAGACTACGACTGGGGGTGGGAACGAAGGGCAAGAAAAGGACGGAAGAGGGGCCGAACAGCTGATGCGACAGCAGCAGTGATACGGCGACGTAGGACAAAAACGACAGCGAAATAATCAAACTGTGGAAAGAGGGTAGCGGTCATCTTCCACTGGCACATTGGGCAAGCAACGCGGCCCGCGCCAAGTCGCCCTGGCGTTACAAAACATCAGTTCTTCATAGATAACACAAGATCCGTGCGAGGCCGACCTCGCCTACCAAGTGCCCCGCTTCCTTCCCACACCGTGCACCGCGGGAACTAAACGCCCACAGGCGCGCCGCCAACAACTCTCGAAAGTGGCGGCGGTTTCGTAGATCGCACCCCACCAGGGATGGCGAGGTCTAATTGAGGACCCCCTGGAGCGCCACCCCGCTGGACCACCCCCAGCACCCCTCGAACGTGGCGAAAATTTCGCGGATAGCAACCAGTAGGTTAGGCCCACGTGGGACGTCACTCCGTTGGGTCCAAGCAGCCACCGAACAAAAAACTACAAATCCGTATATTACAACCCACCAACGATGGCGAGATTAATTCAGGTCCACGTAACACGTCACTCCACTAACCCCCCAGCAGCCGTCGAAAGTGACGACACCTTCGCTGTTCGCAACGCCGCAAGGATGGCGATGCCGTACGTAGGTCCGCGTGGGGACCCCCAGTAACCGTCGAAAGTGGCGACCGATTCTGAATCGCAGCCTCTCAAAGATGGCGAGGTCGAATTTCGGTCCGCGTAAGGCGCCACTCCGCTGGGCCCCCCAGGAACCGTCGGAAATGGCAGCAGTTTCGCAGATCGCCCCCCAGGGATGGCGAGGTCGAATCTGAATCTGCGTATGGCGTCAATTCGCTAAGCCCCCCAGCCGACCTCGAAAATGACGACAGTTTCATAATTCGCACCCCCAGGGATGGCGCAGCTCGCAGCACCCACAACACTGGCGAACTGGGAGACAGGCTGGCAAGCAGATAGGAGGCAAGAGAGCGAGGTAAAAAGGCAAGAGTGCGGGAGGAGGGGGCGGCGGGAGGAGAAGGTCGCGACCGCAGCACTCTGTTCAAAACGAGGGCCCAACGCTGAAGGGTTGGGAATCACCCTGCGACGTTTCCAGCCCATCTGCACCAAATGACCGGAGGAGCTGGTCCAGAGTAGTTTGGCCGATGACAACATCTGATGTCTCATTGGTTGCCCAAGCCAGTCTGAGAAGCGCGCGCGTTGCTGGACTGACGAGGGGCCGAAAAGCCAACGCGATAGCAGCACTAAAACGGTGGAGGGAGGAAAGGACCACAACGAACGAGGCAGGATGAGGAAGGAAGGTGGCGATCATGTTCCAATCGCACGCTGGGCAGGCAACGCGGCCCGCGCCACGTCGATCTTGCGCTCCACAGGGCCCGCTGTTCATAGCTAGCGCGAAGCGTGCGAGGCTGAGTTCGCCTGCCAGGTTCTCATCTGCCTTCCTGCGTATGCGCGGGAGCTCAACGCCCGCAAATGCGCCGTCAAAACCCCTGACGGCCCTCGGGAACGTAAATCAAAACGAATATGAATCCGCGTATGACATCACGCCGCTGAATCCCCAGCACCCCCGGGAAGTAGCGACCGCTTCGCAACTCGCAACCCCCAGGGGCGGCGAGGTCTTATCTGAAGCTGCGTGTGATGCCACTCCGCTGGGCCCCCCAGCAGCCCCCAAAAGTTGCAGCAGTTTTGTAAATCGCAAGCCCCCGCAAAGATGGCGAGGTCGAGTCTGGGTCTGCGTACGACGAAGAGAGAAGAGAGCACGCCGAGTCCGCCGCAGCGCGAGTGGGCCGAGGCTCGGTTGCTGCGTTTGCTGGACGACAGCGCGTATCCCACCAAAATCGGAACCAAAATCGGAGAGATGGGGCCGAACCAACAGTCGGAAAAGAAATAAGAGCCAGGATCGGAACCTGCAAAAGATCTTCGCGTTTCAAGCGCTTGCTATCCCACATGGTGGGCTTGATGCTGGTCTAGAGACTGTAGGTGAGGAGCGAACCGCCGTTCAAATGCAACCACTTCTTTCCGAAACCATTCCTGCCAAGAGAAATAATCAAGAGAGACTTTGAGTAAGGAATAAAGCGCCGTTCAAATGCAACCGCTTGTTCAATAAACAACTCCTGCCACAAGAAATCATCAGGATCGCGTACCGGAGTCGGAAAGACGGGAGCTGAAATCGGAGCAGGGGTCTGAGAGATGGGATGGGAACTGGAGTCGGAGAAACGGGAGCCAGAGTCGGAGCCCGACTCGGAGAGATGGGTGCTGGAGCTGGAGCTGGAGTCGGCTGGAGTCGGAACGTCGAGAGTTTGAGTCGGAGCAAGAGTCGGAGAGGTGGGAACCGAAATTGAAGACGGGGTCGTAGAGATGGGACGGGAACTGGAATCGGAAAGTCGGGAGCCGGAGTCGGAGAGATGGGAGCCGGAGTCGGAGCCAGAGTCGGAGAGGTGGGATGGGAGCTGGAGACGAAACCGTTCGTGGAGATAGGGTAGCCCCTGGGTTCAAGTCTGACGTCGTTGTTGGTGAGGGAGTCGGAGAGATGGGAGCCGGAGTCGGAGAAAATGAAAGCCGCAGTCGGAGAGATGAAACATGGAATCGGAGAGACGGAATCTGGAGACGGAGAGATGGGAGCCGGAGACGGAGAGATGGGAACTGGAGTCGGAGAAGTAGGAGCCGGAGTCGGAGAAATGGGAGCCAGAGTCATTGGGAGCCGAATCGGTGGGAGCTGGAATCGCGGGGTAAGAACCGTGGTCGGGGCGACGATAGCAGGAGTCGGAAGGATGTCTTAGATCATGAGCCTGCGTCGGTCGGGCTCGGGGGTGGGAGAATGAATTGCCGCGTGTCGCCCAGAAAATCGTCCTCCATGTGTTCCACCACTGCTTATTCTCGGCAATGCCCACCCACTGATTGTCATACTCGTATGCTGAGACCGCTTTGAGAATATGCACGTCGTCGTCCCGCGTTTTCCGTTGGCCACCGTGTCGTCGTTTTGCTGGTCGAGAATCGTGCTCACGTGGGTTCCAAGTCGCACATCGTCTTGTCCGCCTGTCGTGATGGTGGCTGGCAACCCGTGCTGCGTAACGCCACTTTCTTTTGGCGTAACCGGAGGAAGCATTCAAGACCCCCCCGGGGTTATCTTAGCAACGCAATTTTATTCAATAGTCCACGAGGGCATTTTCGTGGAGCGATATCTTTAGCACCGCGCGCAAACAACAAAGCAAAATTCCAATCGGTGGCGGCCCCTATGGGGCCAAGAAAGGAGTTCGCAGGGGATGTCAAAGATCTTGCAAAGGTCCCTGTGGCTTCCTAGGGAATGCCAGGAGCGTGGCTCAGATCTCTGGGAATTCCCAAGGGTTGCCAGGGATCTGGGTCGAATCCCTGAGGATTGGTTGGGAATGCAAAGGATCTGGCTCAGATTTTTTTGTAATTACTAGAAGATGCGAAAGATCTGGTGCAGATCCTCAGGCAGTCCTAGGGAATGCTTGGCATCTGTTTCGGTTCCTGTGTGCGTGTGCTACGCGTGCGTTGTGTATCCATGTATATGTGCGCACATCCGACGGCCCATTTCAAAGCCATGCCCCCTTTTGCGGCGGGCCAGCGTGAAATTCCTGAGGTTGCCTCTGGAGAGTTCCGAGA